TTGATCAGAATTTGATGGTTTGTTATTACAAGGTGATATTATTACAAGATATTACAAGGTTTATTACTAATACAAGGTATTACAAGGGCGGACAGTTTGATGTAACAATTCCATTCGCCGATTGCTGTTCAGAATCTCATAGAAATTCTCACCACTAAAGGTGGATGGAGCCAAAATGATGAGAAATTTATGAATGCATGTGCGTAGTCCATATCGTCTTTCTTTAGCTTGTAAGCACGACAAAGCTTGCAAGTTGTGATCTAACACTTACAAATAAGATTAAATTAAATAATAAATCATCATGGATCATTCCTTGTCACTTAAGCAGATGAATGTGTGTGACCGTTTTTGATTTTTCAACTGTTCGTGTCCTTACTCAATTCGTGACGTTTTCGTTAAGTGCGGGCATGGCTAACTACCGTAATTTGTGGGCGTGGCTAGTTACCGTAGTTAAGGAGGTTCGGAGGTACTAGTTCCCTCGACAGCATATATTTTGAAAGCTGAGAATCTACTGAATGCGATGTTGGTCTGAAAACTTATCCTAAAAACTGATGCAATCAGCAGGTTTATTGCTTATTCTGTTTCCATATCCAAATAATACTTCGTCACATTGCTATAAAAATGATACATACNCTTTATCTCCTAATTTATGAACTCTTACAATTAGTATATCTTGAATTGTTTATTAATGAATGACAGTAATAGTAATAGAAGAGTACGTGATTTAATCTTCAGTAGGGTTCTCAAACAATCACAGATCTTGTGTTCAGTTGGAAATTGGTGACTGATACGGGTGTAACACTAGTAACAACATTACTCATATCGCTATAACACGATTGTCACATGCACTGTTAAGGTTCTTTCAACTGAATACCGCCGATCAATCCGTTGGAGCAGATTTCAGATATGCACTTTTTTTTAAAACAATTAACCTTATCGTTTGGAATGTTCAAATTCTGTCAATTGCATATGCAGCCATGAATGATTCGTATTAATCACATGTGAATGATCATCGCTAATAGATTCGTTCGGGTGGATCATCCATCGTATGATCGAAAGATAGAAACCGAATTGAGATTCAGTGTTGAAATATCGATACAATGCAGATAATACATCAGATCATCACATATTGTACTTTGTCTGCAGCCAAACAACCAATCAGCAGAGCAAAATTCTGTTTGGAATTCCTTGGTGTTTGACCCTCATACACGACAATCTATTATACCACATTTCAACTCGTTGTATTGAAGTTCAAGGCGTTAGCCAAATCGCTTCATCAAGCTATTCAACTGGAGATCATTTTCGTCATAAACCATCGAATTGTATTATCAATCGCTAGACATGTTTTGAAGTTATTTGCTCATATTTTCATACTCATCCATCAACTATTTTATGCTACATGTCCGACTACATTCAAGAACCCTTGGAACCATTAGATATGACTNATCTTGATTTTGTAGCCCCATCATCGCCATTTAAGGGAATTGAACATGATATTTTTCGGATATGGTGCTGATCCGATTTGACTGCTCGAAAAAGCGAACATCAGACTGACCGTTATGTCAGTGAATCGGGTATTCGAGAAACGAATGTCTCAATGCTAAATTTCTGGTATTTTATTTACCTCATTATTTCATTTCTCTTATACGACGAAAATTCCAATTGTCTCATTTATTACATTTCAAATGTTCATTCTATCGTTCCAGTACTACCCTTCATTACTGCAATAGCGCAGGCTGATTAGCGAGATCATCTTGAATACTTCTCAACAAATCCAGTTCCTCAGTCTAAAAATTAATCAGTCCAACTGCGCTGCATTCAGTTTATATATTGTATATCAACATACTGTTTCAGCTTCAATTTTTTGCTTCAATGCGCCGCCAGTCTTTATGAAGTTGGATCTAATTTGAAGATATCTCACGCCACGCTCACACTAATCATATACGCGCTATACCATGAAAAAGGTCCCGCACTTCCATATTGATGATATCGAAAACCATTGAACACATTGTTTTAGTGGTTTCTGCTCACATGCATCACTGCTTGTCAACATACAATATTACACTTTATCGGAATTATCTTACGGACCTGAGCGAAACTGCCCCGACCGTTGTCTGGGTAATTTTATCCAAGTTTAGAGAGACATTTGATTGTTTTAAAGCGATTCAGCGACAAGTGTGCATTCTTGAAAATAACTCCTAAATTTGTTCTCCCAGTGAACAGTGATAAAGTCGAACAGCGCCATGAACAGACTTCAAACGAGTTATATAACCAATAATAACATGAACAAGTTAACAACATTAAAACACATAACGTTCAGCCTTAAATTTGACAACTCAACGATAATAAATATAAATAGAATTCCGTGATAAATTGATTTAAGCGAATGGATTATTTGATTGGAAACGCAATGGAATGTGCTTCATGAAGTGTTGATAGTTTCTTTGCCGCCACTATCTTCAGCCAATACTCCATTCAGATCCTCCATGAAACTTTCAATTTGCTTATTACCACCTAATCTTTTCACATCTGTCAAGATCGATTCATAGAGCTTTCGCAAACGCTTCAGCGTGTAACTGAAAAATGAGACAAAATGTATCACCAAAAGTGTACCAAATTGTCCCATCACAAATGAGGAGAGGAAATGCGATGATATTAAAGGAGTCCATTTTGGGCAATTCAACATGCTCCGTACTCAAGTGCTATATGCCACCTTCTACTTGCTCGTGAAATCGAAATAATATGAAATTATGTTACGCTATTGCAAATGGCGTGACGGATTCGTTAGGTTCGAGTTCATTCATCAGTAGGTTTAGAGGTTAGGTTCTTCAAAAGATTTACAAACTGCTGCACTAATAGAACATGATGATGGCAACTTTTCTTGTCGATTCATATTGTGCTTTTCGAATATTATCATTAACTATATGAAGACAAATGGGATATCAAAAACTTGCCAAAATTAATAGAAAATACTGTCGAAACATACCTGAAGGCTCCTCGTTCGTGTAATAAACTTATACAATATTTTTTCACTTCGTAATCTGTGGTTTTCCGCCGAAGAATATCTAAAATAATGATGATAACATTAAGAGTAGCGATGAAAATTTAAAAAAAAACAATGAGTAAACGGGAAAGAATCATAACGACTAAACGAAAGTACGCTTGAAACAAAAACGAATAAGACCAAATACCATATAGCATATAAAAATATGACAAATGATATGAAATTATTTAAAAAATTTAAATGATATACTTACTGATATATTTAAATGATATATTTAAAAAATGATATTTAAATGATATACTTAAGCAATATCATATGATATACTTACTCAAAATTTCATCATCAGGATCGTCCCGTCGTATCGCAATTACTATTGGAAACGAAAATTTGCCCTCACTCAAATCTTCTGCGAAGCTTTTTTGTTTCGCGTAGTCAGTTGAACACAGATTTATGTAATCATCTCTACAATTATTTACTCTTCTAAAACTGTCAATTAAAAAGCGCGAACAGCAATAAATGATGCTGTAATATTGGCATACAACAAAATACCCATAAATAGACATTCAGAAAATTTCCGATGCAGAATGTTTTCTGCGAAACTGAGGAGAGATCGCATTTTTAACGGCAAGCCAAAAGCGGTTCAAATGAAAACATCGATTGCGAATGCGAAATCATAAGATGTGGAATAATAAAAACAACTAAAAATATTTCATTGTTAATAATAATAAAATGTTGTCCAGATTACTCTCATGCGAGATCGTTTCAAGAACACGACGGCAACTTTCTAACCTGATTTGGAAATATAACGCAATATTGTTGAGTAATGATGCAAATTGGTATTTTTCGCTACTGAACAGTTCAATCAAACGAACCGCTAAACTAAAAAGACCACCAGTTTCTGGAAGCAAATCAACTGAATTACTGCAGAAGATATTACGTAAATGGAAACAATATTATCAACAATAATAATAATACAACGATAAATAAGAATTGAGGCAATAAGGCACCACTCACTAATGTACGAAACAATCATCGATGAAGTAAACTTACTTTCTAAAACCATTTGTTCATATTCTGATTCGGTTGGGCACTGCACTGTGTCACGCCAGTATAGTTCTCGTCCTTGACCACGATGCAATTCCAACAGACTATCTTCAATAAAAATCGCATGCGTAGTATATTAAGTTGAAAGTGAAATAAAATGGTAAAGGGAAGCAGCGAATAGGCAGTGCGTAACCTGTGAATATTTGGACAGCTTTCGGGTTTTGAAGTTGCAAGCACTTCGAAAGTACTACAAAATAGATATAATTAGCCGAATTGATAGTCCTCGGCACTCCATAAATATGGTGCGTTACGGGCACTGTTCTTCGTAGGATCGAACAATCCTCAATATCGTCTATCCTATCCACGGAAACAATTATTATTATTATTATAATAAAAAATCATCCGATTAATTCGATGATTCATATCATCTCTCTGAACTGTTCATATCCACACTGATTTAACGGGGACCCATAATTGTACGATCGATAATTTTTTAAAATAATTGATGTATTCCAAACGAACTGGCTAATAGAAATAAGCACGTGCACTCATAAGCACATTCGACATCGAGACTATGAAGAGCGAATGAACATAAATCAAAGAAGAAACTAACATAAGAGAGGCATTATGCAGCATTTCAACCATCTGCATGATTACTTCCAATCTTTCTGCGTCAATTTTTAACCACAAATTGAAAGCTGTTATAATTCGACTACGTATCCGTTTGCCAGCTACTTTTCGAATATAATTGAAAGGCGCAAACAAGTAGTTCTCATTCTCACTTGTACTCATCTTCAACTTAACCACAACTTACCTCTCAACAAAGCGATATTTTCAAGTGACACTAAATCACGAATAATTTAGCGTTAACAGCATGAAATCACTGTACAATGAGTATCAAAACCGGTTTGTTGTTG